GGTAATTCTGTCAGATTATTTGAAAAGAGATACTCCAGAAATAACAATAGCATGTTGATATATGCTTCTCCAAGAGACTTTGGGGTCTGGATTAATCAAGTTGTTCTATGCTGGCTCTTTCATATCGGACAAAACTTAATTGTAGATTCAGATCTATATCTTCTTCAATGGAGGTGAATTTTAACTCAATTTCTTTATGGATTACAATTTATCATAATATACTTAAATATCTTCTGAAACTGAGCACTAGAATCCTGTACATGATTATCAAGCATTTATAGGATTATTTGACAATTAAGTATAAGAATATAACAAAGCGTTCTATGTCTATGCTATCTTGCCCCCTTTTATTTGAGTAATTATGATCCAGGTGGCATGACATTCTTATTATCAGGGCATTTAAATCTAGGTAGGTACAACATTTGAATAAACTTATGTGGTCTACATAGACAAAATATCAAAAGAAGGCAAGTCACGACACAAAATGTTGTTTTCCTTTAATCTATCTGCCAATGAATTTCCTTGCTCGTGCTTATTTTGCTATTAGCAAAAAGCAGCATTGTTTTTATGGTAACACTGTTGCCTAGTAAAGGTAGTAGAATATGTGAAGAATGAAGAAGGAAATCTGACAAATGCATCATTTATCCAAATAAGTCTTCCAATAGAACATCAAGTTGTAATAGAGAACGGACAAATGTTTCGCGGTACTCCACCTCGTGCTTGAGAAGGCTTCTCATGTTTCGTCTGATGTATGTTTTTTATGCGAAAAATTCTTTAGATTGCTCAATGTTAAAATGTTAGTACTTTGGAAAGACATAAATCAAATGAGCTGATTTGGTTATTGTTTCTTTAGGAACAAAAGATAGCGGATGTCCGTCCTCTCAATTGGCATAAATCTGGCTTTGTGCCAACTAAGGCATATGCTCTTGTGGTTGCCTTCAGAAAATGGTTAAACAAGTATGGAGGCACTCAAGTTGACTTTGGAACAAAATTTAGCAGACTACTCCCACCAACCCCTCCTAAAGAGCAACTGTTTGATAGGTAAATCCAGAGGGCTCTAACCGTGGTATACTCTTCAGCTTCATTTTCTTTGATTTCCCATCGTAGAATATGCTAGTCGTTTGATAAACAATGTCATATGCTATTAAGACAATAGCATTGTTCTACTATATGGAGCTTAATTATACTGTTTAACCTTGTAATCTCTTAATTGAAAAAAAATCTGCAGTCCTCAGTGGGCATAGATCTCGCATAAGGGTGAAACACTATAAATTTATGTGATTGTGCGTGCCGGTGTCTATGTATTTCGTACTGTTAGGACTGGAATTAAGGCTTAAACCAGAACAGGCACATGAATGGAGCTTGCTAACAAGATTCAACTGTCATTGTTTTATTGAAAGATCAAGTATTATATAGGAGTCAAGATTTTAAACGATCTTCTGCTTTAATTTTAATTGGTTGAAGGGGATTAAAGTTGAGCATTTTTTTCATTTGCAGTTAAATGGCATGATTTCTGCGATTGTTTCAGGTATTGGTCCCATTCTCGATAAATTGTAGTAGCTGCAGTCTTGCGTACAAACGTCTCAGTACACTTGAGATTGTGCTGCAGGTTGTCTCAATTGCTCCCATTGGAATAGTTGCTGCAGGCAGTGGTGGACCCAGCACCCGGCGAGCCCCAGCGGCTGCGTGTGCTGGATCTGCCGGGAACAGTTTTTTTTTTTTTTGACAATAAATAAACTTTTCAGATTATATACCTGGTTAGTTCACTTATGTTCATACATTTCTTGTAGCTCGGCTGGCTAGAACTTGAATATCCACATGAGAGGTCCCAATTTTGAATCCCTTGCCTAATAATTTTATTGTGAAATATTTTTTATCTTAAAATTTTTACAAAAATTAAAAGGAATAAGGGAGGAGATTCGAACCCGTGGCCTCTCCATTGGATATTGAACGCTTGACAATTGTGGCACTCATGGAATTTGATGCTAAATTTACCAGAATAATATATGTTACATTTTACCAATTTTAATGCAATTGTAAAAATTCGAATTCGTGCACTTCCTTTGAATTATACAAAACTTGGTCACATTATCATTTGATGAATATTGTTAATTTTTACAACAAAATTATATACGTTCAGTGTGAACAAAATAAATGTTATATTTAAATTTCAGACCTTGTTGGATTTCCCTTGTTTCAAAATACATTTTTCTCTCTTCTTTCAACCGCACATTTTTCAATAAAGTATTATTACATGTAAATTCAAAATTTTTTCATATATTTAACCACACATTCTCCATCAAATCACTATTTTAAAATGCATTTTTTGCGAAAAAGGGGGGGCATCAAACGAGGCTCTTAATATTTTATTGCTGACAATGGTCGACGATCCAAATCGCCCGTGCTGATTCGAAATCCTAGGTCCGCCACTGGCTGCAGGCAAGCACGACCGCAAGGAACACCCTGGTATCCATGGTTGCGCTATGCTTTGTAGCTTCGAAATGCTTGTCCCACATTATCTACAAAACTTGTTGGAAGTTGGCAAGTAATTATGTCATTGTAAATTGATTTGGGCAGAATAACATTGTGAAAATTGAATGCTATAAAATGTTAATAGTTGAGGCAAGAGTTCAATTATTTCTCCTTAAGACGATAGTGACCCACACTGGTGCGACGGTATTCCGGCACTCGTCCCCCAATATGATGTTGACCTATGTTTGATTTCATCATTAATGTTTTGATCATAACAAACAAGATTAATATTATTCCTAACAATTGATTTTGAGTTATGATAGTTCAATGTTAAAATCAATCAAGCATTGCCAAAATCAACACATCATAAATCGAACTCGAAATGAAGATCAAAGTGAAAGTTAAGCATTCAAGTCAAATCATTCGAGATAAGAGCTTAAATGATCAAAATCAAGATTATCAAATCGGATTCATGAAGAAGAATAAAATCAAAAGTTTAAGAGTCAAACATGAAAGAAACTTCAAAGCCGATAAAAAACTATGCTTTCGAGATCATATGTAAATGTATAACGCTTTGATCTTTAGTAATGAATGACAATAGCTCAAAAATCATTTTGTGCACGAAGAGTTATTTTCATATCACTTCCATAAAAAATTTTTGATCAAAAGTAAGAATGATCTTTTAAAGTGTACTTGAACTTAGATCATATCTAAAAAAAAATTGATCGGTGGTCGACCGGACGTCTCCAACGGTCAGATTTTTGACCTTTCTGACATTTGATTTTTTCGGTACAAATAATCATTTTGGTCATCCAAAAAGTGGCGGTCGACC